AGAGAAAGATGGGAAAGTAATGTTGCCAGAACTTACATTTGCTTTATTCACTAGCATGGATTTTAGAATTTGTTGCTGGAGATGAGCACTACATTGGCATATGACTGAATACAAGAGTTCATTGAGATGAGGATTCTCTCTAATGAGATCCACAGTAGTAGATATAGTGATGGTATGTTGCACTGCAATTATTTGTGATTTTTGTTGATTGACATGACAGTTAAAATCCTCAAGAACCAAGTAAGACAACTAGTTACAATGTTGGAAAGAACCAAGGAACTGAGCAATGACTCCAAGGTGAGATATGTGAATACCAATCCAAAATTGATTGAATGTGACTCTGATATAACTCAAGTCTCTGTTGGGAATTCACTTATGGGTGGTTTGTCAAGTGAAGATTTCTATGCAAGGAAGTTGTGAGATTGTAAGAGTATATATCTGGAGATGCTCCGTGTAGTTACTCTGCACACCTCAAAGATTTGGGACGTTATTATTCAAGACATAAAGAAAAAAAATATTTTGCATATCTTTCCTATAATCTTGATGAACTTGGAAGTTCTATCACTTCTACAACTCATGCACAGATTCTCTGTAGAGATGGAACAACTGATGTCAAAATTCAGAACACAACTCACGCATCGATAAAGATGATTGATATTCTTATGATCCTATTTGAAATGTGATAATAAAGATATGCACAATGGAACGTGCATTGTGCATACCTTTCTCCCAAAATGTGATCCATAATTAGAAGACCAGAAAAATAGGGAATTTATAATTCCGCCTAAATTGACTTGCCATTGGGACAAGCCATTCATGACGAGGGAAACATAGACCACAGACTCCAAGAATGAAGAGATCTGCTAACCAAATCACAAAGGGTGGATGAGCTGAAGCCCCCGGAGGCAAGTCAGAATTTGTTGATGCAGGAAAAGCTTTAGCAATTCCAAATGAGGCAGAAGACATTTCAGGATAGCATACTCAAGTTTTGATGCTCAGAGAAAAGTCTATACAACCTTGAAACAAAATTAGTGCTAAAGCTGGTGACTCCTGATCAACCCAATGCAACTGCTCTTTCAAACTCCATTGAAGCCACTGCATACTAATATTACAATGCATAAATCAAATTTCAATATCCAATTAGCACACAAAAAAATAAGTATGCAAAGAAGCCTTCTTAGACATATCCAAATCCATAAATCTGGTGACGACTCATTTCGAAACAAATTACAGAAACAACTCTTTACTGTTCTATGATTTTTTCAGCCACTTAAATCGTTAGAGCAACTACTACTCAGCAACTTCCTGTGATCTTTGGTGATATTTTGTATATACTTGCTGCATAAGTTGATCTAAAATAGGACTCTTTGAGACTTACCCAACAAACCAAAATCCCATCCGGAATTGAAATTAATTTGGACAAAAGCCAAAAGTCCCTACGATAGATCCGAAGGTCATCTCAATTGGACTGTTAGGTAGAATTTTTAAAACATGCAGTTTACATACAAACCAACAATACTGTGCCAAAGACAATCGGAAAATAAGTTAAGCTAACAATTAGTAAGACAGAACAAATTTGATTTATAATCAATGATAATCTAGCTTGCCATTAAAGAAAAATCCCACACCTCAGTACACCTGTTGATAAGCCCTTTGCATTCTATTTCCAGAATCTCAAATTAGGGGATAATCTACCTTCGTCGTTGGCAAATTAGACCATCAGCTAAGGCCTTTCTCAGCCTCCGATACCAAATGAAAGGTATCATTTTCCTTTACACACGCCCTCAACTCTCAAAATATCGAGCAGCTCAGGAACATTTTCTTCGTGAGGGAGAACAAACTTCTCCAAGAATTTGGTATCTGATAATGTGAGAATGCATGTAAACTTGCCTTGTCCAGTCCACAATCCCTTCGATTTCAACATCTCTGTGACACGAAACCGAGGAATTACCCTCTTCTGCAGACTAAATAGCAAGAGATTTGATTTGTCGGCGATGAAGGAAGGGGTGTAACCGACCACATTGATAAAAAATTCCACTTTTCTGCGCAACATATCGAGGGACATGCCTATGAAGGTGGGTGCTTTCCTGACTGCAGAAGAAAACTCCGACTCCGACCACCCGAAGCTCCTCATGAGCTCGACCTTGGCCTCGAACCTTTCTTTGCTTACGTTGTGGAAAACAACAAGTGTCCACATGAACATCCGAGATTGCCGTGGCATCCCCAGCTCATCGGCTCTCGCAACCAAAGCTCGGAGAGACTCTGGTTTCTGTGAGATTAATTGTGGGTGACTTCTAAAGACGACAGAGACCCTTTCTTCAGGAATGCCGCACTCATCCCTCAAGAACTTTAGGTTAGGATGCAATGTCTTCTCAACGCTGGCGAAGAAAAACCGTGTTGTCTTCTTGAGATGCTTGAGAACGAGCTCTCTCGATCCCAAGAGACTTTCCCACATCTCCAATTTGGGGACGAAGGAACGGTGAACGTCGAGGCGGAGGATGCCATCGTTGTTCAGGATGGCATCGACGATATCCGACTCCGATAGACCCAAATCGCGTAAGAACAGAAACTTCGGGGCGAGGTTCTTCTCCACGTTGTAGCATAGGTAATTGGGTTTCCAAGATATCACCTTCCTGATACCGGCGCCATCGAAGCCCTGAGATCTCATGAAGTTAAGAACGGCGTCGGGTTTCTCGGTGGATCGGAGGTGCGCAAGGGGTTTAGAGAACTTGGCTGCCTCGGAGGGGGAGAACCCGCAGGAATTCACGAGGTATTCCACCATGAAGTGGGGATCTGGAGATATGGTGCCGCCTACGGTGACGGCGGCAGCGTTGACAGAGGAGGAGAAGAAGAGGCGATCTCGAAGGTGGCAGGTTTCGAACAAGGTCAGGAGGCGATTGCGGCGGAGTACAGAGCGGAGCGTCGCAGCCGCCATTGTGGGAGAAGAATGAGATGTGAGAGGGGCACCCTAATTCCTATATATAGTGTGTATAAGCTTCGCTATGCACAAGAAATACAAAACTGCAATGATCAATTATTTATACGAAAGGAAACTGCTTAGAGAACACAGAGATGTGGAAAGGGACAAAGAAGTGATGACGAGTCCAGATGGACTTAACTATCCAAAATCAAGCATCAATTAAAATGGAGATGGACTCGGAGGAGTGCCACAGAGGCATATCTACTAATTGTGAAGAAAAGGGATGCAGATGCGAGGCGACGGATAGTAATGTTATGGGCATGGCAGCGCCATGGTACCGCAGAAGCGGGACTTCCGTGAAAGTCATTGATCATTTGCTCTCATGAAGGGAGAGTGCTTGGTTGTGAAAAGGGACGAGGAGGTGGGGCATGCAAGAGGCAATCTCTAAGTACCGAGACAAGGCTGAAGGGCAGAGGCCAAGGAACTTCGTAAGACTGGTATCAACGAGCTTCTCATCAAGATAGTCGAAAGTGAAGGATTTCGAGTCATGCAAGAGTGCATGACCAAGGAACGAAGCAGGCAGTACGCGGTGTTGTACCTTTGCTACTCAGGGGAGTAGGCGGCAGGGTTGATGGAGAAGATGATACAATCCCAGAGGCGACCAAATCTATTAGAGAATTACTCCAAGTTGGGGTGAAAACTTCCTGCATTCCAGAAGTTCGATGGCATTGAGAAGGTGAATCACAGTAACTAACTCAACGCAAGAAATGCAAACACTTCAAGTGCTTCAAAAGTGTGAGCAAAGAGCAAGCGAAGGCCAGTAACCAGCTCGATGTATGGAGTACAACCTCAAGGAGATGGGCGAAGTCAAGTAATCTTTACCTTCTCAACTCTTAAGAGAATGGGCGAAACCGAGTACCCCAATTCTCTTATCTATCTAGCAGAGGAGCTCTGCACAAGTTCAAAGACCCTTCGAAGATAATAGAAGACAATAGTTGTCAAATCATCACCAACGGTGATCAGTGTTACTGAGAGTAGATTGTCCGCTTCATTTCCCAACGAAATTCCAATCGAAAGCGGAAGTGATACGAACCTACTTGGATGTGACAACTAAGTGAAAGAAGAGTCAATGAGCAAATTTTGTGGAGAAATGACCCAAAATTTCAGAAGTTTGCGAGACGATGCTCATTAAAGCTCCAACAAGCATCCACCCAGTTCAAGCAGCATGAGGCATTTGAGAGACTGACATAGTAAGGATGGTCTTTTCCTTCATCTAGAGGATTCGCAGGAACCAACAGGGATCAACACAACTCAGCCAACCCCACACAAGAGTCAGAGTCATTGGCGAGTTAAAGCAGCATGGCGAATCAAAGGTTCAACTACTAAAAAAAAAAAAACAGCAACAGAGAGCAACTGGGAGCAAGGAGGCGCATTGCAGCTAGAGCAGAAGATTGAAGACTCAGCAAAGGCAAAGAGTTGCAGTGTCGACAAAGGCTTCGGCGAGGACGTCGAAGGAATAAGTGGGGGGAGAATGTCACGGACAAACTTCGAAACAAGATATTTGATGTAATGCTTATGTATGTCCGTGTCTTTTGGTATGTTCATACTTTGTACAACATGTAGAGGGATGACCGAAGGCTTAATAGTCTCATTTTAGTTAGGTTGGTGGCCGCTTTAGGCTTGTAAATAAAGGTTGTGTCATGTGGACACGTGTGAGAGATTTTCGGTCTATAGTGGACCATTTTACCCTTTGTTGTGCAACCGTTTAGAGCTTGTAAAGTCTGTTTGTTATTTGCATTGTCTATGAAGTATTTTCGAAGATCTTTGCTTGTTGATCCCGAGAGAGGCGTTCCCTCTAACCCGTTCTTTCTTTTGTTAATCCTAAGGGACAATGGGAGGCTGACCTTTACGGACGGACATGCAAGGGTGCCGCACGACTTAGGCAAAACCAGCTAAGTCCGTGACAATACGGGTCCGTAATGGGTTCAATTGGGTATTACGAACAAAAGTAAGAAAATATTGAGCAAGTCTACTCAATGGGAAAGCCCAATTTAGACCGATTATGGGTCTCGATATGCCCATTGTGAATTGAGATAATAACCAAATGATTTTGAAACCTTATGATACCGAACTCGCAACAGATTAAATAAACTAACACACTAAAAAAAAAACAAAAACTATGAACAAGAATCCAAGATCCACTTCCAATGATTGCTTGCAAGAGACAAGATTCATAGCATACTCTATAGCACTACAAACAAGCATGGCAGGAACAAGAATGTAATTAGAAAAGCAGTTTTCGCATACCTTCCAATATTCTTGATGCACTTGTTAGTTCTATCAGTTCCACAATTCATGCACAGCTACACAAAATTTGCTTCAAAAGATGGAACAGCTGATATCAAGATTCCGAAAACATTTTAAATATGAGAAAGATGATCGATATTCTTATGATCTTATCTGAATTGTGATATTAAAAATATGCACAATTGCATGGAGAGGCCGAAACAAGAGTAGCTGAGAATGGGTCAGAATAGTTTGCACAATCATAAGTAGTCATTTCTGCACTAAATGCGGGACATAAAACCTTATGATATAATGATCATTAACTCAAAAACAAATCCTAAAGACAATTACAGAAATTTGAAATACACATTTTGTTGTCGATTTTAAAATGTTTAGGCGTATAAATTAGTTTGCATGTTAGAGTTTGTTGATGCAGGAAATGCCTGGGCAACAATTCCAATGAGGCTGAAGACATTTCAGGATAGCAAACTCAACAATTCCAGTGAGGCTGAAGACATTTCAGGATAGCATACTCAACAATTCCAACGAGGCTGAAGGCATTTCAGTATAACATACACAAGTTTTGATTCTCTGAAGTCCATTCAACCTGCAAGCAAAGTGACACCTTCTTACATGCAAAAGAAATGGGTGAGTACCAAACCAATGGTAATCCTGATCAACACAAAAACTGGTCTTCCAAATTCCATTGAGGCCCCAGCATGCAAATATCACAATACATAACAGAAATATAAATGGAATCTTCCAATTAGCACACGAGCAAGTTTGCATAGAAACTCAACTGACAAGATAACAACTCCTTGAAAACATCCAAATCCATAAATCCGTGAAAACTCACCTAAAACAAATTATAGAAACAACACTTTGGCGTTTAAATTTTTTTCAGCTACTAAAATCATCAGAGCAAGTACTACTCCATGTAACTTCTCGTCATCTTTGGTGATGCATACATACTGCATAACTTGATCTGAAACATGGCTCTTTCACACTCACCCAACAACCAATAACCGATCCAGAATTAAGTTGGAGAGAATCCAAACACCAGTTCAGAATCAATTTGCACAGAATCCAAATGTTCCTAAGATCCAAAATAATCTTCATTGGACTGCTAAGCAGAATTTATAAAACCTGCAGTTCACATACAAACCAACAATACTGTGTCAAACACAATCAGAAAATGATTCGAGCAAACATTTAGTAAGACAAAACAAAGTCGGTTTATAATCAATGCTAAACTAGCTTGTCACATAAGAAGAATCTCACACCTGAATAGAATTTTAGAGAAGCCATAGGGGAATAATCTACCTTCATAGATCAGAGATTTCAAACAGGCAAGGGACTTCTGCTTTGCAACAAAGAACAGACTTTTCCATAAACCTTAATGAGTAAAACTGGAAGACATTTGTGTTGGGCACTGCATAGACCTTCCAATTACAACATTACTACCATATGACACCAAAGGAATAATTCTTTCACTGGACTGCACCTCAGTAGCCAAGGCTGGTGGTTGATGTAAGACAGCTTGTTGTCAAGGAAAAAGGTGCCGAATCACTGCTCAGCTCCTGTTGAGAAATTCAAATGTGAGTTAGACCATCAGCTATGCCCTTCTCATCCTCCTCTGATACCAAATAAAAGGGCTCATTTCCCTTCACACTCACCTGCTCTCAAAATATCAAGAAGCTCAGGAACCTTTTCTTTGTAAGGTAGAACAATCTTCTCCCGGAATTTTGTATTTGATAATTTCACATAGTACGAAAACTTGCCTCGTTGAGTCCACAAGCCTTTGGTATTCAACATCTCCAAAACACTAAACCGAGGAATTACCCTCTTCTGCAGACTCAATAGCAAGAGATTTGGATGGGAGGCGATGAAGGAAGGGGTGTAATCGACCACATTGATAAAAAATTCCACTTTTCTGCGCAACATATCGAGGGAGATGCATAATAAGGTGGGATTTTTCCTGACTGCAGAAGAAAACTCCGACTCCGACCACCCGAAGCTCCTCATGAGCTCGACCTTGGCCTCGAACCTTTCTTTGCTTACGTTGTGGAAAACAACAAGTGTCCACATGAACATCCGAGATTGCCGTGGCATCCCCAGCTCATCGGCTCTCGCAACCAAAGCTCGGAGTGACTCTGGTTTCTGTGAGATTAATTGTGGGTGACTTCTCAAGACGACAGAGAGCCTTTCTTCAGGAATGCCGCACTCATCCCTCAAGAACTTTAGGTTAGGATGCAATTTCTTCTCAACGCTGGAGAAGAAAAACCATCGG